ACCCACTGCACATCCGTCCGCAGCCAAAAGCCAAGTCAGCCCGGAGAGTAGCGAGCCCAGACGTTTGTTTTTTTCCCAAGTTTATTTAAGTAACCTCCAAGCGCAACCTGGGGCTCGAACCCACGACCCCGTTATCGAGTCGCAAGTTCCTCCGACTGAGCCAGCCCGGCGCCCCATAAGGAGCGCCGGCGCCTTTATTCGCTGGCAAGGGGCCCGGGAGCGCGGCCCCGCGCCCCCCGCCCCCCCGCGGCCCCGGAGTCAGGGCCTTGCCCCGCGGCGCGCCTCACCCCACTCCGGGACGGACGGCTGGAGCGTCTGGGCACTGGGCCGTGCCTCAGTTTCCCCGTTGGCGCTCCCGGCCGCCAGGCAGGCCCGGCTCGCACCCTCGCCATCTGGAGAGCCGCCCCGCGAGGGAAGGGCGGCCGCACCGAGGTTCTGGGGTGGGAGCCCGGCAGGGGGACCGGGCTCCGCAGGAAGCCCCCCTCGCCGGGGCTGCCCCGGCCCTCCCGCGCCGCTCCCGGGCGCGCCCTCTGGTGGCTACTTTGAGGCACTACGTCCGCAGAAGCCATCAGGGTCCAAAGTGGGAGGAGGGGACGTGGGGAAGAGGGGAGGAGGAGAGGAGGGCTGGAGGGCAGGAGGGGCCTGGCCCGGATCGCCGCCTCCAGGCATCCTCCGCAGTTTAGGAGGAAACGATGCCTCATTAGCGAACCGCGAAGCTGGTGTATTCGTCGAGAGAGAATGTCTTGTCACCACCCCTGGATCTCTGGCCCTCTCCAGTGTCCACAAGGGAGGTGAGGGCTGTCGTGTCAGAACCTTTACCGCGGCAACTGAACTGAGGCAGGCATTTTCAAGTCGGAGGCTTTATGCTGGGCAAACTCCAGATCCTGAGCTGGCTCTGACTCCTCCGGGTGGTGGAGAGCCACCAGCAGCTGGTATGTGGCTGTGCCAAGCGTGGCCCCCACCAGAGGGGCCACCACAGGCACCCACCACCAGCCATTACCAGCCCTACAAGAGAGGGACATGAGGCTCTCAGGGCTGACTCCCCTGGCCTCCCCGTGGAGCACTGGGGGCAGTCACAAGAGTGCTCCTGAAAGCAGTTCCTGGGGAGATGGACACCAGGAAGAGGGTGTCTTGGCAACAAAGCACAGCACTTAGAGAGGAGCCCCCAGGAGAGCCTTGGTCCAGCCTCTTGCCTTAGGGAATTATCTGAATATACCCATTTTGCTGATGGGGTCACTAATGCCCAAGGAGGTAATATGACACACCCAAGAACACCATCCCCACAGTTTCAGTGGAAGGGGTGGAGGGAGAGGAGAAGGGGCAAGAGAGAAAGGGAGAACCAGGATGTAGATGAGGGACACTGTCCTAAGAGGCTAAGAGAACTACGTAAGCAGAGAGAGCTGGGGACCCAGACTCAGAGGGAGGAGAGTGAAGGGACTGCCCCAGAGGAGGAGGCCGTAGTCTCCCACCTGAAGACTTCAGGGCCCCATCCAGCCATGTAGGTGAAAAGCCGTGGGCCCAGGTCGCGGGCAGGGTTGAGTGGGAACCCACAGTTGACACCCAGGGATAGCCCGATGGCTAGGACTAGCAGCCCCCCTGCCACAGGTTCCAGACCCGCAGGCACTCCCTTGTTCCGTGTGTTCACGATGGCCAAGGTGCCCACAATCAGGATCCCTGTGCCCAGAACCTTGGAGTTGAAAGAGGCAGAGGGGCCCCCATAAGCTGCCAGATGATCCATCTGCCCTTTCTCACCCAAGCATCCAAGGCCACCAACCCACGCCATCTGATTTTGTCCAACACAGGCAACTGGGGCAGGGATGGTGCAGAGATAGACCCAACCCCACATCCCAGAGAATCCCAGGGGACAAGAGCAAAGACCGGGGCTTTCCCAGGTCTACCCCTCGCACTTACCTGATCCAGGAAGCCATTGTTCAGGGACAGATACGGGGCAGGTTGCAAAGATGGAGGCCGTCTCCCTGGGGCCAGTCACTGTCAGGTTGCCACCTGTATAATTCTGTAGGGCATCTGCAGGGGAGGGGAACACCCAGGATTTCCATCTTTGTTCTTGCAAAACCACTGCAAGGCACTCCTGGCCACACGCAGATGCTCCCAACCATGTTACCGTAGTAGACAGCGTAGGTGGTTCCAGAGGCACAGAAGGCAGAGAGAAGCTGCACCAAGCAGTAAACGGGAAGCTTGGCCCAGGGGAAACGCCCCAGGAGGCACATTGCCAGGGAGAAGGCTGGATTCAGGTGGGCCCCTTCAAGGATCCAGAAAAGAAAACCACCATCCCTTAAGTGTCATTGCCAGGCGCTCACCAGGTAATGCTGCTGTTGCCCCTCACAACTTTTTAATTTAATCTTATTTATTTAAGTGGTCTCTTCTCCCAACGTGGGGCTCGAACTCACAGCCCTGAGATCAAGACTGGCATGCTCCTCTGACTGTCCTGACTGAGCCATCAGGCACCCCTGGAGCTCGCAACTCTTAAGGCAGATGTCACTCCTCCCATCATGCGTCAGGAAGCTGAGGCTCAGGGAGGTCATGCAACTTGTCGAGGTCACACGGTAAAGCCCAGGGTCTGCCTACAGTGTTCGTGTCTCCAGGCCCCGGCACACTGACACAGCACGTGTCTGGGGGACAAGCAGGTGTGGCCCTGCACAAGATGACCCCAGAGGGCTTCAGGAGGGGGACACGCGAAGACAGTCCTTACCTTGCCATAGATCTGTCTAGGTAAGTGGGAGAAGGACACACAAAGGGAAGGGGCTGGACCAGGCCAAAGGCAGATCTCAGTCCAGGGCACTAGTCAAGCTCAAGGAGATAATGTCCATGAGTCATCGAAGGATCTGCCTTATGCCATATACCCACACTCACGTGCACGTGCACGTTCTACCCCCTCTGATGACCAGACCCCACACCCTCCTCACCTGAAACGTTACCACTCACGTAGATGGCTATTATAACCACCAGAGAGCCAGCCAGAAGCGTGGTGAAGAAGTTGCCTTTGTTTTCTCCGCTGGTGACAGCTGGGCCACAGCCCCCTGGGTGAGGAGCTGGTGGGGAGAGGGAAGATGAGGAACAGGAACCAGGAATAGGGAGCCTGGGGGACCAACAGGGAACAGGGGGAGAGAGGTGGAAAGGCAGAGGAGGAGCCAAGAGAGCTGAATGAACAGGAGGGGTCAGCAAGGAAGGGAGAAAAGCAGACAGAGGGAAGTAAAGGGGAGACGTGAAGGACGAGTGAAGAAAGGGAAGGAGGATGAGAGATGGACAGGGATAGGAATAAAAATTAGGGAGTAGGACAGGAATGGAAGGGACAAGGACAGGGAGAGAAATGATGGGTAGTTGAAAGAAGCGAGACAGCAGGAAGAAGAAATAGAGACACCAGGAGGAGCCGAAAACTTTTGCCCACCTCGGCTCTTTCGTTCCCCCATTAGCCAGCTTACCAAGAGCACCAACACACCCAGAAACTCTGCCAGGCACTGTCGGGCCAGCTGGTTGTGGATCCGGAGCCGGCCCGTGACTTTGGTTAGGGGCTGACTATAGGCCATGCTTAGGACACCCTGTCTCAGGCTGCAACTCTCTCCGTATGCATGGGCACACAACGACAGCCTGACAGGGGAAACGATAAGGGAAAGACTTTAAAACCAATTAGCTCGGGCGCCTGGGTGGCTCAGTTGGTTAAGCGACTGCCTTCGGCTCGGGTCGTGATCCTGGAGTCCCTGGATCGAGTCCCGCATCGGGCTCCCTGCTCGGCAGGGAGCCTGCTTCTCCCTCTGACCCTCCCCCCTCTCATGTGCTCTCTGTCTCTCTCTGTCTCTCTGTCTCAAATAAATAAATAAAATCTTTAAAAAATAAATAAATAAATAAAATAAAAATAAAACCAATTAGCTCAGCTCCTGGATACGATATCTGCACACGTGTGCAGGCTAGGGAGGTAGAGATAACGGGAGAAGGTCCAAGGGCAGGCTCTGTGCATGACCAGAGCCTGGAGTTTGCCCAGACCCTGTCTCCTTTGTCATCCCCATTCCTCTCAGGGGTAACCTCCTCCTATGCCGACGGGCTGGAGGAAGTATCCCACGTCAGTGCTCTTGGCCACAACCTTGAAAGGCAGCGCTACTGTTCCCACTCTGCTCATGAGGGTCTTGAGAACCTCAGGACTCCCCTCGGCCACACAGCTACTTAAGGGCTAGGTCTGACTCTCCACCTCCTACTGCACAATGCCTCTCATGTGGGATGTGAAGTGTTTCCCCCAACCATTTGGATGCTTAAAATAAAACCCACTCATTGAATGCTTGCGCTGCCCTCATGCAGAGTCTCACCGCGGTTAGAAAGTGCTCTAGCTCTGTGTCGCCTGCCTTGGCTCCAGATGAGCCTTCACACCCACGCTGAGCCCCACCTCCCCTTCTCTGGGTGCTTGCCACCCTGATTCTGCACACACATAGCCACTTCTTACTTCTTATCGCAAGCCTCCAATTAGGTGCAGTCAACTATGAGTCAAGTTCTAGACCCCGGGGAGCAGGGGGTAGCAAGATACAGTGCCTGTTCTCCTATAGTGTATGTTCTTCTGGTAGGTGGAAATATACAAATTAAAATGCTGTAGAGAATTTATGAGGTTCTTGAGAGCTGGGCCGTATTGACCCACGGGCTCTAGCACAATCCTGGGCACTTCTGTAGCAGGAGTTCTTTACTGGGTTTAGCAGTACCCACTTTGGGGCCAATGCACCATTTCCCAGCTGCTGGGAATATCAGATGCTGAGAGCACACAGCTGCTTCCCTCACAGTTAATACCTTTCATGGCCTGAGACAGCCTCACCCAAGGTGACATGCCCTCTTATGCGGCCCATGTCGATGACTGGTCGATGCAGGGATACAAAGACCTGGCCTTCTTGCCTCAGTGTAGGACAACCCTGAAGGGTCACTCAGCTTCAAAGTCTTCTCTTGTAACTTCCTTGGGTCAGTCACCTCTTTAGCCTAATCCTGCCTTCCTCACTTTCTTACATGCGTATCCCCTGAGGGCACTAGGACCCCCAAGAAACCTTGTTCATGTCTCTTTTCATCTTAGTCTTTGCCCAGGGAACCCATTCTTTTTTTTTTTTAAAGATTTTATTTATTTATTTGACAGAGAGAGAGATAGTGAGAGCAGGAACACAAGCAGGGGGAGTGGGAGAGG